ATTTATCTGCAGGTGCCTCATTTTAAAGACAGACAATTGCAGATAAAACTCATTTGTGATGGATTCCAATCAAATCAAGCATGTTGTATCAATTTCTGTTGTCTACACGATTCACCCAGCAAGAAACTTAACATCTGAATTCGTATATTGTCTTACATAATCATATTTGATAAAGGGGGTAAAAAGCAAGACATTTAGTGAATAATCTTATGCGTCATCATAAATTGTTACCGGTATATCTAAAAGTATAGAATAAACCGATACTGGATGCATATGCAGGTATCGCTATATTCCAGTTTTTATATATCTTAATCAATACCAGTTGGTTTTTTTCTTGAATCTGTCTCAGAGTTTTTATTATCCAGAATGAAAACGACCCCGGGCGATATTAACAACTAAATGTATTACATAAACTAACAAATACCGACGAAGAAACAATGGATTTTATAATTTATTTGAGTGTTGAGAGCACTTAAAAAATTACTGTGAAGCTTTGATATTAGTATTATGAAAGGAGACATAAAACATCTTTTCCCTCGTCAATATCTACCTTTATTAGTTAATTATGACAACCTCCTGACAACAAATGTAAGTAACGTTCCTTCTAGCGATAAATTTTCTAAGACTTGTATCTAAGAAATTTCAAATCACTCAAACATCTCAAAGATAGCATTCAATCCGAATACATATCACTTCTTGGCCTCATCTTTAAAAAGGGCGGCATTTTCAAGATAAGTGTTCATCGCGGGTTATGAGATTTTCTGCAAAAGATAGATCATTTTAACGAAGGTTATTTCATTTGATACCTCTTTATGAACCTAGATTCCTTCCGAGGACTAGGATCCGTCTTTATCTGAAAGAACTTTATTACAAGTCACAAGCTCACAATCTGGTAAATATTAAATTTGAGTTATAGGAAGTTGTATTCCCTATATATTATAAATGGTGAAATTGTTCCTGTTCCATCATATTTTGTTTTTAATGGATGTTACATAATGATCGACAAGAAAATTTATCTCAACTTGATAAATTTTCTTCTTTACTTGTCGATAACTCTGTAGTTCTAAGTGCCTAGGTTTCAAATACAAAAGGAAGTTTGAAACCCGAAAAAAATGTCCAATTAAAATGAGGTCACAATGGCACTATGTTACAAAGGATATGTCATAGCTGCTAATTTCATTCAGTGGTATAAGAGGGGTTGAGGATAAGAGATGAGTACCCCAAAGCGTAACAGACGGAGGGACGGACATTCACTATATACTCTCACACTTTTCAATCGAGGGTATAAAAACAAGAAGTGTTTTAAAAGATTGTTGCCTGATATAGCAGCTCAAGCAAAGATTAAAGGTTTTGCAATGATGGTCAAACTCCAAGGTCAAGAGTGAAAAAATGTTTTGACAAAAAGGTTATCTTCTAATTATAAGGTCACAGTCATGAGAACAAAAAATAATATTAACAAAGGAAAGATCTTGTCACAGGTAATGCATAAGTGAAATATGAAAGACATGGACTTATGGAATATGCAGCTTATACTAAGTATATAAAATCCTAGATCCAATCGTTTATAAGTTATATACAAATGTAGTTTTTGACAAAATTAGATAAACTCTCAGGTAGAGATCGAGAGAACATATTTGTTTGTACCCAAAGAAAGGTCTTGTCACAAGAAATACAGATGTGGAATATTTCCTAGCTTTACAAATTGTACCAAATTAAACATTTGTTAAACGTTATGGACAAGGTTAAGAGCCTTTTTTATATGGGGAAATATACTCTAAAGCTAAATTTCTGGAGGGGAATTCTAATTTTGAGCATAATTTCCTTGAATAAGGTGAAAATCATAAGTTATCTCTCTTTGTCTAGACTTATCAATTCACACAATGATTGTGCCTTAATACCAAACTTACTGTTTCTAAAGTTTCCCACATTTTTCTGAAGTCGGTTTCATCTATTTCTACTACATTATTGTGGGCGATTTTATTCCTAATCTCATAGATTCTTCTTAATTCTGCTACATCGGAGTGGTCGTTTACTTGCAATTCTTCCACTCTGAATTCGTACCGAGTTTTCTTGATAGGTACACTATTGATGAAATATCTAGTGCGTCGTAAATGACCATAACTGCAAATAATAGATAATTATAATGAAAATTTCAATTAAAACTGTTTCCTGACTTTGATGTTGTTTTAGACATATGTATACATACTGTAAGTACAATTACAGTCTAGCTTGTACATGTAACAACTCTTTAGTAGGAATGTCAAATTTTTAAGCGATAGGAGTGTTACAGTAACTCCTTTATAGAATTGTAATTTCTTTTTTACATAGATTACTCATTATACCTAGAGTAATCCTTTTCTAACAAAAATCTGAAACTTCTTAAATGTTTTTTTCTTATTTTTTTTTCATTATTTCTATGAAATTGATTTGGAGTTACTCAGTTTTCTTTATGCTACATCTATTCAAATCATTGAAATTGAAATACTCACCATGTATTTCCTGTGTTTTAAAAGTACTAGCAGTCTCAAACAAATAAAGATTTATAATTTTTTAATACTATATGTAGGGAGCATAACTAAACAATGTGCTATTTATGCACAGATGTAAAACTTCGGAAGCACAGTCCTCAGGGGCTGTGATTTACAGAGTTGCGATCAAGAATTCGTCAAATTAAAGTTGTTTTCAGCAAAAGTAAGAGAATGAATCAGAAAATAATTTTTCCTCCTCGAATTAAACAGTTATACAATTATTTGACCAAATCAATTTTTTAATTATGATGTGAAAGAAAGTATTCAAAGTTTGCATTATTCTTGAGAAAGAACATATTATTATGTCAGATATTAAAAGAGACATAATTGTGTTGATTGTATGTTGTTTAACGTCCCTCTTAAGAACTTTCTTTCATATGGAGACGCCAGCACTTGCGGTGAAGAGCTGCAAATTTTCTTCGCACTCTGCACTCTGCACTCAGGGTCATTGAGCAGTGAGGGATCTTTTTCGTGCTAGCACCTTCTGCGACACGGGACCTCGGTTATCACGGTCTCAACCGAAGTACCTGTCTCCACAACCCACTGTGGCATGCTGCTCAATGACCATGAGTGCTGAGTAAAAGTAAAAAAAAAATGCACCCTTCACCAAAATATATGGTGAAGTCTCTACACGGGTGAAAAATTCTTGAATGGGACGTAAATTGAAAGGACTACTTTAGATCTTTGAACTAATCAATCAACTCCTTACTCCGCGACTCTAGAGCAGACGATGTAAAAACTGCACCACGTGGGCGACAAGGAAACATCCTAAAATAATGAAAACCATAATTTCCTCTTGTGACGTTTGGCATAACATCAATGGTGGATGATTGATATATTTCAGTTAACTTTTAAATCTTTAAACAACTTACTTTCCTCGTCTGATTGTTTAAGAAATGTTTTGTTGTTGTCATTGCCCATTGCTTTCCTTAGTTTCTTTTGTTTTTTCTTTAATTTTCGTTCCGGGTACTTGGACTTAAACCATGTTCTAGCAGCCTTGGTAACTAATCTACAGATAAAATAGCAGAGTTTAAGGAAGTTGGCTCCTTTATCAGATATCAAATCATATGACCTCATGGCAGACCCCGACACCGATGCATTGACCTTGTTGCTTGCTTCTTCAGACATTTCATCTTCATCTAATGTTTCATGCAATGAGGAGGAGAAAGAAATTTCTAGGTTTTCGTTAGTTAAATCTTCAATTTCTTCAAGATGGTTCTGTGTGTTTTGCAATTCTTTCTCCATTTTGCTTTTCGCGCATGGTTCCTTTGTGTTTTTGTGATGATCGCTTGTAGTTTCAAAATTTTGCGGAGATGAGAATGTTTCTTCCATACTTTCATTCTCTTTGATCTCATGTGATGTTGTAGGTGGATTTTCATTAGAAGGATTGTTAGAAGTTTTCGTTTTCTTAAAATTTCCCCTGGTCCTGCATTGGTCTGATCCCTCAGCTGCTTGACTAAGCATTCTTTTTCTTCCTTGCTCTGGCATTGTCAGTAGTATGGTAGATTAATATTTCCTTATTCGTTGAACTATTCTGAAAAAAAAAATGTTTATAACTCTATCTATTCAAAATATGTTTCTTTAACTAGATTGGATTTGAATCATAAAAAAAATTAATAGCTTGATTTTTTATTAGGATTGTCCCCTCCCTACCTTTAAGTTTTTATCTCATCTTACCGAAAACATGCTTGAAAAAATTCGGACCAACAACTCAAATCTAAATAAAACATTGTACACTTTTCTGTCATATGTATAAATTTATGTTTAGCAATGATGACGTTTATCCTCCGATTAATTTTTTATTCTTCTGCTTCCAATTTTTTGTTCTTGTAAAATCAAATTCTGAATCATAACTTTCACTTGATGGTTTTGAACATAATACTCTTCATTTTGACTTAATATTTTAAACACTTTTAAATAAACATTAAATAAAATTTAAAAAAATATTTACAAATTATTTCATCGTCTGAACGAAACTAAATCGGGTATTGGGAAATTTTAACGATTATGATCCGTTTAAACAGCCGTAGAGTATTGAAGCTGGTTTATTTTAGTTTCGAAATTAAATTTAGATTATAGACATCTTAATGATTAAAAAATACCAATCCTAAGAATTTTGCTTTAATATTTGAAAATATGAATATAAATTCCAACATTTTGAATACTTCGTATTTAGAAAAATATGTGCTTATGTCAAGGTCATGTACAACGGTAAAAGAATTTGAATCAGAATTAAAAGAATTTGAATCATATTCTGAACTAGTTATCAAACATTTATATAAATCTGCATATGTACATGTATCGGTATTGTGATTTTTTTAGTGTTGATTTAGATGAAATTGCCTAAAATGCTTTTTTAAATATAATTTTTAAGTCTGATGTAATCATTGTTGGAAGTGGAAAGAGGGATTGTTTATTCTAAAAATTTCCCATTTGGATCGGCTTAAAGGACCAAAAATAATTCAAAGTTGTAGATATTGTTTAAGAAATTGGTTTTCGTACTTCGAAGTTGTTTAATGGCTACATTGAATTTACAAAACAATCTACCTTATCAGATACCCACCTGTACAAGATTCCACTTCCTTGTCAATAAATAAGGTGGCTTGCAAGTGCATTTTTTTCTTGTTTTGATCCCACTTTTTAGGAATCACCTGACCTTCATGATCACAATACGAAAATGGCGACAAAATAGACTCCAACTGTGTGTGATCTGTTACAACGCACTTTGAAAAATTATGCACTTTGAAAACAAAAATTCAAAGTGCGTATATTTTTTTCAAAGTGCGTTGTCACAATGCTCGTCGAGAATAATTTTCAAAAATCACATGAAGGTCTTTTTATTGTTATTTGATATGTGTATAGAAGTATTAACATGTTTATTCCGACGTAAGATGATTCATACTTCCGTAAAAAAACTTAAAACAAACAAAAAATGGAATGATTGGCTACTCAGTGGCGACTTTTCTTTCAAAGGTCGTTCAGAATATGGTTGGAAAACATCTTACATTTACTGCAATGAAAAGGGGGAAATAACAAACAGCGATCTATCTAAAGAAATCCACAATACAAATCTATAAACAGAGCGTAAAATACATACCTTTCAATATTCAACAGGTAGGATTAGGAGCTTTGAAGAAGTAAATATCCCCAGTCAACCGACCACATCAACCGAGCTGTGAGCCCTACATTCATGTATTTTAAAGTAGTTTGGCAGATACATCCCGTAGTCAATTTCATATAAAATCAAAGGCAAAACTATACACTATATAAGAATGAAATACTTTAACCCAAATACGACCCTGTGATAAGTTACAAAGGTGTCTTTGTTAGCAAAGGCTATTATCATAAGACCATGATAGAAAATACGTAATGATGACATGATAAGAATCGTTGAAATCACTGTAATTTTTATATACTGATATTTCATAGTATGTCTGAATTTAGGCACGACAAATGTTTTTTTCTTCTCATGTAGCATGTTGTAAATTCTATGGTCGTAATACAAATTGTGCTGAATTAACAAATATTGCCTTTATCATTGGGTCGTATTTTGCCTGACTTGCTTCATACCAATTGTAAAATCTTTGTTTTGATACTGAGCTACGGAATGTTCTGTCTACCTTATCAATACATATGGCTCATGGAAGATGTGACCGGTCAACAGGGGATGCTTACTCCTCTTAGGTATCTGATTCAACCTCTGGAATTTTCAGGGGTCCGTGTTTCGTTTTGTGAACAATTTTTTTTATCGAATACTTTTTGTTATCTTCAACCTTTTCGGGCAAACTTTAAAGAAATTAATGAATTAATATGACAGAAGATTTTATTCGACTTGTCTTTTCTGTGTCAGGAAATTGGGATTCAGGTCTGAGTCAAATTCCTGACCATTTAATCAAAACAAAAAGACTAAACCTTGTGAACGCTTATGTCTGTTTTCTTACTCTAAGGTGTCGAAATGACATGTTATTCGAAATGATATGTTATTGGAGGAAACAACATCTTAAGTGACCTAACTGAGTAGTTTAAGACAAAGTTCAGGATGTCGTTTCTTATCAGTGAATGAACTGCATTTCATTTTGATAACCTCTTGCAGCAGATTTTGATCTATTTCCAGAGCGCCCAGTAAAAACTACTGAAGAAGCCAAACACATGCACATAAAATCATGATAAATACAGTGTATATACAATGAAGACCATATACAATATCTTAATCAATATGATTATGCAATGCCTGACATGTGTTTCAAAATTAACACGTTTTTTGTCAATTCTTGATATGAGATCTTCCATTTATTTTATTTTAAATATTGCACTTTTCAAATTCAGGTGAATACTTCATCTTTTTATTGAATTTTTATTTTCTTGCTTTTCGGTTTGGAAAAATCAGAAAGAAAGTCATTCAAAAGTATTTCAATCTAACTAACAGGCTTATGTTTGGGTTTCCCAGTTTTATGAAAAGATAAAGACCACCTTGGTTTCTTTTTTTTTTTATTGCGCAATTTTCCTTGAAAAATTATCTGATTTGAAACGGTAAAATTCTAGGTGGAAACGTTCTGTAATGTTCATGTGCCATGTATGTTTTCTGTTTAGAGCATGCGTAACCTAAACAGAACATTTTTGTTCTGCAGTAAGGCAACACATGTCCCAGTTCTTAGTTCATCAATCACTCATATCGATCTAAATAAGCTATTGATTGCTGTACAATGACCTGATTGTGTGGCTGAAATCATTATCTGCAATTATCTTGCAAACCTGCTGGAAGCAAATTCAGATGAGGAAGGAGGTGTAGACATACTTATCCAGGGGACTTATCAGTTAAATAGCTTTGTTTTCTAAAACATATACTGTATATTACAAAGATATGTGGAAAACGGTCCCAAGTACTCCCATTTCCTATGGGGCCATGGTTTTTGTGCTTAAGTTGACAGAGTGAAAAGAATATAATTACTTTTTTTAATATGTTCCATGAAAATAATTTGATAGAGGCAAACAAATTAACTAGAATTCTGTTGAAGCACAATCAAGTCTCATGCATTCCCAATCGATGATAATTAATTAAGCTATCAAGATAAATATTGACAATTAATTATTACTTGGACATGCTTTCAGAGGCATCAGAGGCTTTCGTATAATACATCAGAGAATATTTGATTCAATTGTACACATACGTTCAACAATTGTTTTGAATATAGCGGCTGACAATTCATGACATTTTTACCATCATCGCGTACACAACAACCAATAAGATGTATACCCCAAACGAGACACAGAAACATGCAGTGTCAAAATGTTGTCTGAATCGCTCCCAGGTCAGTGGTGATTGTTCCTGATTTGGGATTTCATCATTTGGGATTCTGCCATTGGTCAATGGTTCTCGATCTCTTCTAAATATTCTAGATCTAAGACCCGAAAGTCTTCTTATGCGACTCACAAACTTTGGCATTTGTTCATTTTCCTTCTTAAAGAAAATTCGAAGTCCGACAATAACAAGTATCAATATAATTCCACTCTCAATCATCATAATCATCAGAATGTAACACAGTATTGGAACAGGATCTGAATTTTTGGGGAGCGTTGCGCTGAAAATTGTCATAAAAACAGCAAAGGAGAGTAAAACTGTCATGGCGAAGGAAACGCGTTCACCAGACTCTGGAGGAATTAAGAACACACAAGCATTTAAGATACCCAGACAAATGATTGGTACACAGGTATTTAGAATCGAAAACTCTGACCGCCTTCTGACAACAATCTCAAACACACAAGACGAATAGACGTCAAAATAGGAGGAATATGCCTTCATGCTATGTATGTCCCACTCTCCATGTTTCTCATAAATTGCAGACCTAATTCCTGTGTCCATTCTAAGCTCGTTTCCAATTCGATCAATGGTCAAAAATATAGCGTAACATGTATGCTCGTCAAAGGGGTAAAATTTCACATAAGGTTGACAGGTAACGCTTACGGTTCCTCCCTTGATCCAAATGACTTGACCCTTTGCATAAAGTCTGACGGGGAAAGAATCCTCCGGGAACACAGGAATTCTGTCTATTGGATTGGCCAGCGTGATAATCGGTGTCCACACGTGATCTTCCGGTACGACCAAATGCGACACATTGCCATACTTTAAAGGGTTCCATTTTAAAAATCCGTCAATCCAACGCACATCTAGACCCATTGCTATAGATAACTGTCCGTTCACCTCATTAAATTGGCTGATTCCCCGTGGAAGAAATGTTATCTTCAATGCCAGGGTATCATTGTCGTTAATGGTCGGAATGATGACTTTGTTGTAAGACGTGTTTTTGAATAAATAGTTGTATATTTGTGGACTGTATTTTTCTCCATTAACAAACACAAAAGTCAACAAAAGTAAAATTAAACGATCCATCACCAGCAACGTCAAGTCAAACGAGCTTTATCAATCGCTGTGCATGTCTGCTTTATAACATTGGATGAAAAAAGATACGCTTGATAAAAGGGGAAAACCAAACTATTTCACTGATATGGAGACGTCACCATTGCTGGTGAACCAAACAGGGATAGTGGCATCAGAAACGTTCACGCAAAATACTAAATGCTTATGAGCTGTCATATTTATTTTACCCTACATGAAACACATCATTAATTTTATCTCTCACAAGAAATTTTGAAAATAGCCAAACCAGAATTTCCTGGAAAATTTCGTAATTCTCACAGCGTCTCATACTTTGCTGGGGTTAAAATTTCACAGCTATCTCCACTTTATCTGCAGGTGCACCATTTTAAAGACAGACAATTGCAGATAAAACTCATTTGTGATGGATTCCACTTAAATCAAGCATGGTGTATCAATTTCTGTTGTCTACACGATTCACGCAGCATGAAATTTAATATCTGAATTCGTTATTGTCTTACATAATCATATTTGATAAAGGGGAAAAAAGCAAGACATTTAATGAATATCTTATGCGTCATCATAAATTATTACATCTTATAGTATACTGGAAACCAATGCTGGAAGCATATGCAGGTATCGCTATTTTCCCATTTTTATAGTATCTTAATAAATACCAGTCAGTCTTTCTCTTGAATCTGAATAAAAACGATTCCTAACAATATTAACAACTTAATGTATTATATTCAGCTAACAAATACTAAGTACCGATGAAGAAACAATGGAACATATCAATTATTTGAGTATTAAGAGCACTCAAAAAATTATTGTAAAGCTTTGATATTAGTATTATGAAAGAAGACATAAAACATCTTTTCCCTCGTCAATATCTACCTTTATTATTTCATTTGATACCTCTTTATGAACTTATAATCCTACCCAGGGCTGGGATCCGGCCTTTATCTGAAAGAACTTTATTACAAGTAACAAGATAACAATCCAGTGAAAATTACAATTTGAGATATAGCGCGTTGTATATTCCCTATATATTATAAATGGTGATATTGTTCTTGGTCCATCGTATTTTGTTTTAATGGATGTTACATAATGATCGACAAGAAAATTATTCTCAACTCGATATATTTTCTTCTTTACTTGTCGATATCTCTGTAGTTCTAAGTGACTCAGTTTCAAAAACAAAAATCTGAAGTTTGAAAACAGAAGAACTATTCAACAGTTACATACAGTTTGAGCAACGGCTTTTTGTACTAAAGCAAG